TCTCTCCATCTCTTCCCCAGCCTCTCACCCCTTGCCAAACAAGACTATGGGGGTTGGGGGGGAGGCAGGAGGGCTGTCCTGCTGGGGACAGTGAAGCCATGAGGTGTGCCCACCCTCCTCCCTTGAGTGGGTTTCTGAACCCTGGATGTGTGTGTGTGTGTGTGTGTGTGTGTGTATCTGTGTGTGTACACCGTCCATGCAAACCACTCCGAGGGAAGCAGCTTGCCAGGCAGGCAGCACCTCTGAGAGTGGAGAGGGATGAAGAGTCTGGCCCCAGCTTGGAAGCCAGGAGCTGGGCAGCTGGAGGAGGCTCTGCCTCCCTAGGCACCGCTGCCCCCACCCCCACCAGTTCTACCGCCACCCCCCATCAGGATCCACTTCCTTGGAACCAGGCGGCTTTGAGGTGAGGGCGGGGAGGGTGTGCCCAGCTCTTGGGGACAGGGCTCTGCCAGGCACCGAGTACCTGGGGAACAGAGTGAGAGCCCTTGGCCAGGAGGGGACAAGTCACGTTTCTCCCCTTCAGGGGCTGGCTTCCAGCAGTGGCAGAGAGGAGGGGGCGCGGGGACAGCGGGCCTGAGTGGGGCGGGTGCTCTCTTGCCCTCTCCTTGCCCCGGGACATGGGAGCCAGGTGTCCCCAGCTGTGGCCTTCCCGCATCAGGCCACATCTGCAGCCTCCTCTGCAGCCTCGGATTACCTGGCCCCAACTTGCCAAACTGAAATAAAATAAATTCCAAACGACAGATGTTTAAAGGAAAACTGCTGATAGAGTTACCACCTTCGACTCTTACCAAGAGAAGAAGGAAGCAAAAAATGCCGTGGGATGGCCTGTTCAGTTCTATTTGATAAGGGACCGACGTGTTGAATGTGGTCGGCAGAGGAGGCCCGGGTGGTGGCGGGGAGCGGCCTCTGCTCAGAAAGCCCCAAGAGCCGAGCTACCCCCCCCCAAAGGCACACTCTAGGGCACGCACCCCATCTCCAAGACGCTACAGCCCCCACAAATAGAAACCTGGAAAAAGGAGCTTTTCTTTCCACCCTGCCTGCCTCTGCTGCTAACGAACCGTCCCCCTTCCACAGGGCTGAGGATGAGGGGGAATGAAAAGCGTTATTAACCTTCCCTTACACGCAGATTTTTTTTTTCCTTTTTTTGGCGAAACATAGAAATGCTGCAGAAAGACTGCACGCCGAGTGCCAAAGGCAATAAAGAAGCCCTAAGCCAAGGTAATGGTCAGGTGATGGCAAGGCAGCCGCCTTCCTCGAAGGGGCCGCTCCCTCTGTCAGGCCAGGGTTTCTCCTCCTCAAAAGCAGGATGGAGTAAAGCAGCAAAGATGGGTTTGTTTGTTTTTTAACAAAGCTCTGTGTTCTCAGCTGCAGGGCCGGCTTTCTTTCTGTTGTTTGGTTGTTGTTTGTTTTGTTTTGTTCTGAATGAGGGGTAACCTACCTAGGTAGGCATTGCAGGCTGGAAGTTGGGTGAGCGTTTCCTTTTCTTCTCTTAGGTCTGGGACTGCTCAAACAGCCGTCATCTACCTTACCTACCTCACAAACCTCTTTTTAAACAGAGATCAAGTGCACATGTAACAAGTGCCCCTGTCACCTTCTGCGTCTTTACGAGACTTCTGAGGTGCTGGTAGCTCAGGGAGATGGCGTTCATGGCTGTAATTGAAACCCTGCGGGTATCACTTTAGGGAAATGGGGTGGGGGCTCCTTCACTGTTTCCAGCTCTGGACAAGCTAGGCAGAGCCAGCCTCACTTCTCTCCCATCATCAGGAGAAAAACAGATGCAACTGGCATTTCTAGCCCGGGTGCCATCCTCACTGTCCAAGAAAACGCTGGGACACGCCCGGAACTGCAATCCTGGGCTTGGCTCTTATTTTCCTTTTCTTGAAGATGAGAATGAAAGCCCAGGGCTTGAGGCAGTACACGTGTCCATCTTCTTGCTTTTCCCTTCTTTTATTTTTTTTAATTAAACGGCTTATTCCTCCCCAACGATTGCAACGAATTTATAGGTTCAAACTATTGTGTTTTTTAAAGGCCATATAAAAAATGGGAAAACGGGTTGTGTATTCATTCTGGGTCCCTGGGCTAGGTCCATGGGATCCTGGATGGAAGCCTGGACAGGACTTGGCCCACCGAGGAAACTCACCGAAGACAAAAAGAATAACAAGCAATGGAGAAAAAACTGTTTCTGGGTGATTCGCTTCCACTGCAATGTTCATTTCCCCTCCGCAAGGAGCATAGTGGGTTTACTTTTTAAAGTGTGCTGTTCACCCAGCCTCTTCCTACCCCGGAAAGAGAAAGAAACGAGAAAGAAACCGATGCAGACAGAGCGGCAGAGTTTTCGTAGGGTTGCACGGCAGAGGTCACCACCATGTGCTCGGAGACACACGCATGACGCGGGGGAGAGAAGTGACTAGCGCTTGGTAACACACCAAAATAAAAATTTTTTAAAAATTGCATCGTTTTAATATGGTTTCCTTTATTGCCCAGATTGGGACCGAGTTGCATAAAGCAGCGCTTCTGTCTGCGAAAGGCAGCTGTGGCGACAACAGCTGGAACCTGGGGCTTAGCAAGAAAAGTTTGTCCAGTTCCCAGCTAGTTCGCAGAAAGCGGCATCGGCAGCCGCATCCTTAGAGGCCCTCGGACACACAATAAACGGCCCTGCCTTCCCCCCCTCCCCCCCATGGATGACAACTATCCCCCAGACCGGAGAAGAGGCTTGTTTTCCGGATGTTGCGTTGGGCTGTGCGTGCGGGGATATTTTTTTTTAATAGGACAGCATACAGCCTGGCAATTAGAACGGTTGGGGGGGAAAAAGTTGCTCAAAAAATTCGAAGGATTTTGCGTTCTGCTTTCACTTCAGCGGGTACCCAGCAATAGGCAGGCGCGCGAAGCCTTGGGCTTTCATTTCACAACTTACACTTGGTTGGAACAGACTCTTCCCCCCTCCCCACCCGCCCCTCTCCTCCCGCATTATCCCTCCCCCCAAAATCATACACACACACACACACACACACACACACACACACACACACTTCTAACCTTTAGTCGCAACGGAAGTCCCCAGGCCTGTAAGCAAGCCTATGTACATTTACCCCTGATCCCATGAAAAAAATAAAGACATCGGCCTCGTGTAAAAGCAAACAGGAAAAGCAGGGGCGGCACCGGCGCGCTCGGACACGGTCGCAGCTAAGTGGAAGGAACAATATCCCAAAGAGAAACACATGGGCTGCTGGCCCGCACCGCCTCGTGTTTTAGGCTGATCCCTGCGACCAGGGCGGAAGGGACGGCTCTGGGGAGTGAGGGGATGCTTGGGTGAGGACTGGATGGAGCACCGGACCGGCGCCCGCGGTGACAGCATCTCCCCCGGCGGGACCGCGCGCTCGCGCCGCCGCGGACACCCCGCCGGCCGCGCCGTAGCCGGAGCCCGAGGCTTCCTTTCGCGCGGCTGCTGCGGGGTCGCCGGAGGCTGCGGGGTTTGGGGACTTGCTTGGTTTTAATATGCAGGGGGGGGGGGGAGAGAGACGAGGGGTTTCCCTGGGGAGAAGCATCCCACCCCCTCCCCACCTCTGCTCTTCCTAGGCTACAGGCGGAACAATTAGAGTTCTGTTTCCTGCGAGTGGGAAAGCCAACGGCGGCCTGTCCTCTCCCGAGGCTGCTCCGAGCCCCACGTGCGGACACCGCTCGGAGGAGCGCTTGGGGCCGCTCCGGATCGCTCCGGGTCTTGGAACCGCCAGGTCCCCTTATAGGCTTAGACTCGAGGTAGAAACATTTTTAAAAAGCCCCGTCCCGACGCCTACATCCCGGCTGACGCTCCTGCCATAAGAGACGGCGTGGGCTCCTCGGGCAAAGCCAGACAAAGTCACCCAACACTTTTGCCAGAAGCGTGGGGGGGATGGGGTCCCGCCGCCCCCGCTCGGAACCCGGTGGCCCTCGCCCCGCGCGCCCCAGGCCGCTCCACGCCGGGCAGGCAGGGGGCGCCGGGGAGGGCGAGCGAGCGAGCCGGGAGCCCGGCTGCCACCAGGAGCGCGGGAGGCTCCGCCGCGCCTCCTCCGCAGCCCCCAGGCCCCGGCAGCCCGCCCCCTGGGGGTCACTCGGCGCCCCGCCAGCGCGGAGCTCCGGGGCCGCGGAGCGCGCGCCCTCTCGGCCCCCTTCTCCCCGGCGGCCGCCCCGCTGGCCCCGCGCCCTCCGCTCCCCGCGCGCCCGCGGGGCCTCTCCTCCTCCCCACCTGCCCGCGGCTCGGCTCGGCGGAGCGGGTACCGCTCCTCCGCCCGGGCGCCCACACACACCCCGCGACGGCAGCCCCCTCCCCCGGCTCCCCCGCTCCCCACCCCGTCCTCCCGCCGCGCCGCCGAGCACAGCACCGCCGAGCGCACAGCGCCCACTACCGCAGCCGCGCAACTTCCCGCGGCCGCCGCGCAACTTTTCCCAACTCCGCCGCCGCCGCCCGGCTCCCCCGGAGCCCGCCACCCACCCCAACCCCAGACACAGACCCAGGACCAAAAAATGCTCCCTTCCCTACTCCCCCCATCTCCACACACCCCCCCCCTGCGCTCCCCCTCCCACACCCGGGACTAGCTGGTTGGCCAGAGGCAACTCTCCTCCGCCTGGGGGAAGGGGAGGGGGAGACTCGCTCATCTCTTCTCCCTCCACCCCTTCCCGCTCGCTCTCGCGCACTCTCCTCCCTCCCACCCCGGTCTCGGCGGCCCCCACCCCCACCCCCACCCCGGGGTTGCCACAGCTGGTCCGTGCGCGGGCCGGAGGGCTGCCGGGCTCCTCTGGCGCCCAAACCAGGAGCGCGGGCGCGGGCGGGCGGCGGGCGCGGAGGCCGGGCCGGCAGGTTGCTGAGGCTGCGCCGCGCCCGCCTCCTCCTCCGCCCGGGGCCCCGGAGCGAGCGGGCGGGCGGGCGGGCGGCAGCCCCGCGCTCACGCCCGGAGCGCTGGAGACAGATATGCAAGATGGCAGAGGAGGGGGAAAAGCCAATAGAAAAGGGATATTGCACCTACTTGTGGCCAGTTTCCTTGCCCTGCCTTTGGATCTCATGCTGCGCCCAGTCCTGCAGCCGCTGGTGTGTGGTTGGGGTTTTTTTTTTTCTTGGATCTTTTCCTTCTTTTGCTCTCCCTCTCCCTCCCTCTTCTCTCTCACTCTCTCTCTCACACACACATACACACACACTCTCTCTCTCTCTCTCTCTTACACACACACACACACACACACACACACACACACACACACTCGGTCTTTCCCTCTTTCACTCTCTCCCTCCCTCTCTCCCTTCCTCTCAATCCACACTCGCTATCTCTCCTGCATTGTCAGTTTGGACACCTTCGCACATGCGCGCTAGACGCCCCTCCAACATCTCAGCGCCGCCAAAAAAAGTTTGGAGCGATTTATCACTTTGATTTGGAGATCTTGTCAGATGGCAATCGCCGAGGAGGCGGGGAAAGGGAGCCGCGGGGAGGGCGGCGGGGGGCGGGGAGCGAGCGCGGGGAGCCGGAGGGGAGCAGACACTTCGCCCCTGCAACCCTCCCTCTCCCCCCCACCACCACCCCCAAGAAAGGAATGAAAAGACTCGGGCAGAGTATTGATTTCGCGTTGGGAATGACCGATAATCCTCTATCATGATTATTCCTGTTTTTTTTTCCCACCATAAATTGCGGGATATTTTCTATACGGTCTATACCAAGAAGGCGGGGTGGTGGAGGAGGAGTTTTTGAATCTTTCCTATGCTAAGGAGCTCGCAGGACTTGGGCTCTCGAAGAACAACGACCCGGGAGAAAGTGCGATTCATCCTGAACTTCGGGAAATCAGATGCTGCCGCCGCCGCTCCCGCTACCGGAGCTATTGCGGCTTCTGCTTTCAGAGTGGAACACAGAATAAATAACTGTTTCTTCTCGGTTTGGGGTATAATGGCAATGCTGGTCGTCACCCTCAGACCATTTTTAGTGGCCTATTTCCCCACCAAGTAGTAATTTTCGCCTTTGAATCCCGGGTCCGGGCAGGCTCCGGGCATTTGATAGCCAAGACCTCCTGCCTTCCCGAGGCCGGCTGTCACCTTCCGGCCTCCCTCACCGCTGCCCCCGCGCCCCGCGCTGCAGCTCAGCCTGCCTGCCATTTTCACTCATTCGCTTTAAACCCACGACCTCCGGGGTCGTGAGAAGAAGGAGGTGGGGAAATCTATCTCCCACCTAAAATTATATATATATATATATAGTTGAAATTTGCTTTTATGACAGGATTTGCCAAGGAAGTGGGTAGCAGAAATGTTCAAGGTAGACTCCATTCCAGCTACGTATAGATTTTTTTTCTCTTGGTACAGCCTCCTTGCTTTAAACAGTTTTGTTCGGTGCCTTCCATGAGCTATTTATGTCCCCCATTAATATCTGTTGCAAATCCAGCCAGACACCGTAAAAGAAAATTACAATCTTTTCGGTCTCTGTACTACAACAATACATCCTTGATGTTCACGTTAAAGAAACGGGAAAAGAAAAGGGGAAAAAAAAAAAAAAAAAAAAAAAAAAAAAACAGGTCCTGGTCGTGAGTCTGGTGAAGTCAGGGGAGATCATTGAGAATGCCCAGTTGTACCTGTTTGTTATTTATTGTCAAAACTAGCACTGGGGTTATACATGAGCAAACAGCAAGGTTCCACCCCAAAGGGCATCCATCCATAGCTCACAGATAACTTTCTTCAAGAAAACCAAAATTCAAAGGGTGTGCCAGAGCGAAGAGGAGCCCACCATTTCTCTTTCTCCAGAGCTGTGTAACTCCGGGGGCGTTTGGCTATAAGATACAGGTCCCCGGAGAACCAAGGTACAGGTCCCAAGGGACACAGAGTGATATTGGAATTTGAATTCGAGGAAGGGAAGAGGAAGGAATGGCACAAAGCAGGAGTGAAACAGCTTCCATGGGAGACGTCTCTGGTGTCCACACAGGGGCACAGGAGAGCTGTCATTCCTTCTGCACTAAAGAGGCAGGTAGGGTACCCACACACACACACACACACACACCCAGCCTTCCTACAGTCCCTGTCCCCCTATGCTTACAGGTACATCGTGGGTGCAGCAGCACCAGCCACTTGAACATTCTGCGCATGTGCTGGCCCCTCTCAGTTTAGATCAAGAGTATCTTCCCTCTGACCAGTGAGTGTCCTTAGGGGAAAAGGAGAAATTGGGGGGCGGGGGAGGGAAGAGAGAGATGAGATCCGACGAAAGGACGGATAATCTCTAGGGAGAGAAGCACACTTAAGCGAATTGGTAACAAGTTGGTAGAAACTGCTTCTGGGCAGCGGAAGGGACTCTCTGGGGACCCTCACCTAGGCCAGCGGACAGAGGGGTCGGGTGGGAGGAGCAGGCCCCTCCCCGCTGTCAGACTCTGGAGGGCCTTGGCTCCCAGGAGAGGAGGTGGAGTCCACTTAGAAACCGAAGCGTACCCTGGACCGGAGGAGAATCTGGCCGGGACATTACATTTCACTTTTCTCACCTGGGGAGCTTTAAAAATAAAACATTAAAAAGGAAGGCACTACCAACCTCCCCCTGGCCACTGCTCTCCTTAATTCCTTTCATCTCATCCCCCCCGGGAGTCTTTATCTAGGTTCCCCTTGCAGAAAAGGGGGTTACGAAGAGGAGATCCTGGGCATTTTCTAGGAAACCAAGGTGCCATGGAACCAAACCCAAGATTCAATACAGAGCCCACATGCGAAGCTGCAGTAGTTGTTTCTGCTGAGGAATTATAAACCACGTGACAGGCCAGGCGTGGGGTGGGGGCTAAGAAAGGGCCCGGGTGGGCTGTGAAAGGCTAAATCGAAGTACCTCTGCGTCCCCACATGGAAAAATCCCCGTATTTTAAACTTTTCTGGAGGGCAGGGAGGTTAGGCTGGGGTGCAGCGAGTGGGGTGCAGCCGGTGCACCCTCCTCGCCCGCCCAGGTTCCTAAAGCCCCTAGGGAGGCGGTCACCTCGGGTCTTTTGCCTGGTCTGTACGAGAGAGTTTCCGGACCAGAGTGAATCCAGCCTCTTCTCACTGAAATAATAAACACCAACTTCTCCGAGCCCTCGGGCCAAGCCATTGTGAGAAGACAAGGCATTCTTCTTGTTGTTGTTAAATAAAATATTCGCCCTCCGATCACTCTTATTTCCAAGCTGAAAAGCTGGGTTTCTTCCCCCCCCCCCCTCTCTCTCTCTCTCTCTCTCTCTCTCTCTCTCTCTCTCTCTCTCTCTCGTTCTCTTTCCTTATCCTTTGCTTTCTCCCCTAAGCGAGGGTTAATACAAGAGCTCAGTTGCTAGTTCAAGTGTGTTTAACCTGATGGAGCAAATGCCCGGCAGCTGTGGACCGCGCTCGCCTCTGCAGTGCGGCGGCCCCCGCGTGCCAACCCCGGCGGGTCCCCACTCTCCCAGGTGCCCGGACCCCGTCAGTTCCACCTGTCCCAGGTCTCAGCCGTGAGACCCAAGCAGGTGACTTTCCCTTCAGCTGGCCCCTGGGGTTCCCGACAGCCAGCCAGCCAGCCTCCGACGACCAGGCGTCTAAGCTGTCGCCGGCCCAAGAGAACAAGAGGCCTCCAACAAGTCTGGCTGAGCCGCCCGCCCCCCACAGCCCGCCTTCCCCTCTCCTCCCGAAATTCGTTTCCTGGAGAAGCAGCAGCCCAGGTCCTAGCATCTAATTGCCTTTCCTTCCACGGAAGCGGGCACCCGGGAAGCACTGCCCCTTAGAAAGTGGATGAGCTTAGGGGCTGGGTGGATTTTGCTTGTTTTATGACTGTCATTTTTTCCCCCTTGCTTTCTGGTTTTTGTGAAGGGATTGTTATTGTTGGGCAAGAGCAGGGAGATCGAGGTGGGAGTTGGAAGGGAGATGAGTCTTTGAAGATGAGAGGAGTACACGTTCACCCCTTCCCCAACTGCGTGTCTGGAACGAAGGCTGCCAGCGACAGAGAACCGACTTCTCAGGACGGTTTGCACGCAACAGGAAATTTCCCTTTCCTTGTATTATAATTGTACCAACCCCACAGTGTCTTTGGAAGAAAGTTTGAATTCTTTGATGGAGGTAATTCTCGGCCTATTGTCTTTGTGCAGTGAACTTTTACATCTTGCTATTCAATCGCAAACCTATATTCTCCCGGCTACCGGCAAGATTGATTTAATCATTGTAATGCAATTATTAGTGCTGTTTACCCAACGCTGGGTTTCAGGTTGGCTGTTAAGAAATTAAACTCTCTCTCTCGCTGGGTGACCAGAGCCGAGGCAGGGGTTTTTCTTCATGTTGAAATGAAACAGTCCTCTTTATTTAGTCTCAGAGCTCTAGCTTTCGGCCACCGGCTCAATTAGCCAAAATGGAAACAATTTTCATTCATTGCAATAACTCACTGTTCTCAGATCGCTTTCAAAATATACACTTTATTATTATACGCTGACCCCGATGGCGTGGAGTGGCAATAAAAGAAAGAGGCAGGGAGATCTATCTAGCCCCCTTGGGCTATAATTATTAGAAATTAATTGGGTTCAGGACCCTGGGTAGTCTAGCTAAATTAATAGCTTGTCTAGTGGTTTAAATCCGAATTTTTAGTCCGCGGGAGAGAAAGAGAGAGCGCCACAGACATGAAATGCAGACCCAAGGGACGCCTGCATTTACTTGCAAGACCCCTCATCTATTAAATAGTGTCCAGAATACATTTGAGTTGGGGAGAGGGAGCCGGAGCTAGGAAGGAGGGCAGGGGCCAAAGGAAAGAAAGGGGCGAGATTGGGGAGGGCGGCTGCGAGGGAGCTAAAAGGTCTCGAGTTGATTTTATTCGATTTTTTTTTTTTTCTTGTCTGCATTGTTTTCGGGAGGGGTTGCACGGAGGGGTTAAAATACAAACTCAAAGATCCCCGTGTACTCGGAGCTGTCGCGCCGGAGTAAAAGTGAAAAGGGAGCCTTAGGCAAAAGGAAATTACTGCGAGCCCGCGTGACCTTTCAGGGAGGTAATCAATCAAGTGATCAACAGGGATATTTATCATCGCTATATAGGACTACTTCGCCCTGCGCGGGCGGGGCGGGGCGGGCGAGAGGAGGGTAC